CGGAGGGGGTCCGCCCCTGCGAGGGCACCGCGCTGGCGTCGGAAAGGGCGGCAACCCTCCACCGACCGCGCGGCCGTGGGCGCCATGGGTGAGAAGGGCGACAGCCAATCAGAGGCGCGAGTTCCGCTTCCCGCGCGGGCGGGGGGAGGGGCCGGTCGCGGCAGAGGTGGTGTCACCCTGAGGTAAAGGCGGCAGTGCTGGGGCGTGGTAGTGCTTGGCTCCAGGTTAGTCTATGTCCTTACTGTTCTCCGTTTCCATCATACATCGCCACTTAGCTACTGCCGGTTCTTCATTGATTTTGAAAACTGCGGATTTAAAAACATTTGATGCTGACAGAAATACCTGATAGCGCCTATTTCACAGAATCACAGATTGGTAGGGGTTGGAAGGGACCTGTAGAGATCATCTAGTCCAACCCCCTGCTAAAGCAGGATCACCTAGAGCAGGTTGCACAGGGTCACATCCAGGTGGGTTTTGAGTATCTCCAGAGGAGGAAACTCCACAACGTCTCTGGGCAGCCTGTCCTAGGGCTCGGTCACCCTCAGAGTGAAGAAGTTTTTCCTCATATGCAGATGGAACTTCCTGTATTCCAGTTTGTGCCCATTGCCCCTTGTCCTGGCACTGGGCAGCATTGAGAAGAGTCTGGCCCCTTTCTCTAGACATCCATCCTTTAAATATTTAAAAGATTTTAAGTATGCTTGGATTTCCTTGTATCCTCACACACTGGTATTTCTAAATCCCAGTCCTCCCATTTAAAATTGGAAACTTGAAACAAACCTGATTGAGATGATTTTGACATATACTGATTAAGTGACACACCCTTAAGAAATTAGTAGTACCTTAAGTGGCTACTAAGCAGTTCACTACTGCTAGTATTAATTCACAATTATATCACTGCTAGTAATAGATGAAATTCTATTGCTTAGTATTTATATGAATGCATGGTTATATTGCTATAAAGAAATCTTAATAAGTGATACACATAAATACTATTAAGTTGCAATTCTACTGCCTGTCCTCCTGCACTTAGTACTCCTTACAAACACATCCCTTCTTGCTCCACCCTTCCACACCAAGTCTGTTGGATGGAGACCTGATGGAGGGTCCAGCAGGTTGTCCAAGGGGTTTTCCTTAGCAGGCCCAGCATTTTTATTCCACTGGTTGTGTTCACCACTGTCTCCAATCATCCATACTCCTTTGATCAGAAGGTTCCCTTCTACTTTGTTCTCCATCTGATTTTATACCTTATTTCCTCTTGTCTTGTCTTGTCTTGTCTTTTCCTGAACCCACCTTTTTACCTCCCCTGCACTTCCTTTTCTCTGCCCAGACGCCTGTCAAGGAAGCAGTGAGCCCCTAATTACTTTTTCCTTATTGGTCCTAATTCTGTTACACCCATACCCATTTGGTATTTCCAATGCTGTTACGGAGACAATTGTAGCCTCATATGTTACTGATACCTACTGGTATGTATATGAATACAGCCTTGTGTCAAAAGTTTCCTTTATGGCCCTACAATTCACATTAGTTACGTTTCATTTACATTGTACACTTTTTGAATAGAATTATCTTACTTTAGCCTTGACTCTCCTACCTAATTTTAATTAAGAATAACTATTCTCTTATCTATTTTGCACTCACACTGTATCTCTGTCCTTGTATAGTTTTCATCTCACTCCTGGTTCTCATCAGAAGCATTAATTAATTTAAAAACCTGGTATTCCAGCAGGACCTCTTGCTCACAACTAGCCTATACAATCACCTTTTCCCTTGTAAAACTGAAGGAGAGAAAAATAGTCCCCTCATAACTACATGAGGCAGTGAAAAGGTAATAGTTTAGATAGCTGAACTACTATCTTTAAAAGCTAATTTAGAATCCATAAAAATTAATTTAATCAGCTCAATTCTCAAAATTATTGTTTAGGAGAAGTAATTTGTATAGCTTTCATTCACTTAATGGTTTGAAAGGTTTTCTGTGAAACAAATAACAAGAGGCAAAATAACAAAATAACAAAAAACCCCCAAAAGCCCAGTTCCTTCACATAAAAATCAATTGTCCGTGGTCTGTAGTTGTTTATTACATCCTTCCAAAGGAATAATACTGAATGTTTTGGGTAGCCTTCTTCTATTGGAAATTCAGTGCAAGGTGCATGTGCTAGCAGAAATTAGGAAGTTATTCTTGTTAAACCTGATTTTCAACCTTCTCTTTCAACATTTTTGCGTGATACAGGAATCTTTTAACTGATCCATATTCTGTATATCTTCTAGACAAACGAAGTGTTGAAAACATCACAAAACAAGATGTTTGCACCTTTAAAGTATCACTCAACGGACTATTTATATGAGGTATAGTTTTGTTATTTCTCTTAATATTCTGAAGGAAATATGGCAGTAACTGAAGAAAAGATTGAATGCACATTAAAAAGAGAACTATTTTGTTAGGAATTCTGTTTCATTTAGGTAGTTGTACTGCTCTTGCTGGGCTAATGTAGTGAAGTTATTACAATTTTTTAAAATAAAAAATTAAAATACAATTTTGCCAAAACTGAAGACCATAATTTTCTTTTAGTGTCTGTTGCACCTATAATTCTGTTTTACAGCCAGTTTCCTGCTTAGAGCTTTCTTTGGGAAGTGCACTGTGCCTTCTAATGCATAAAATTTAATTAATTACCTTTTTGGAGAAGGAATCCAATTTTCTAGATACTTTAATATGTATTAGGACAGTGATACACAGCACTATATTCCCTACTGATGATAGGGAAGAGTTTTTATAATGTTTTAGATTAAATTCACAGATGGGTTTTCACACCTACAATGACTATTTTGGCTTTCTAGATGTTGATCAGTTAAGACATAGAAACCTTATGAAGTCTTGTTTTCCTTCCTGTCTACATCTGTCTGGTGTTACCAACTGCTTATCACTGAAGCACACTGTCTTACTTAATTGAGTTTTTACTTCTTTACATTTTCAAAGAAAAGCTATGAGTGAAATAAAAAAAACCTTCTCTGGCAGAGTGGTGCTTTGCCAAGCAAACGAGGTAGCAAGACATGACGCCTTCAAGAGTTCAGGGAGAGTGCAAGCACATACACAAGTGCTCCTGGCACATAGCTGGAGAAATGCAGCCTCAGAAGTGGTCTGGCAATAGTTCTTACGGGTAAACTGAGATTCACATTATGAAACACATAGCGCACATCCTTCTCCTTACAGTGCAGGAATTGTCCCATATAGTACCTGTGTATGTGCCTAGTGTTTTTTTAGATTGTAGCAATCAGAACTTCTTTTTCTATTGTAACTCCAACAGTATGCAAGCTGTCATTCAATATGTGTGTGAAAACCTTCTCACAGTAGTTCCATTTGGTTTGATCTTCAGATGTTTCTGTATTATATGTGAGTAGAAAACAGGTGTGTTAGCAAAACATATTGTAGGCTATCATGCAAAAGAGAAGAATTCATGGCTTTTCTTGCCTGAATTTTGAGGATTACGGTGGTGCTGACAGCAGGACAAATTAAAAGTGATAGAAGAGAAATGTTTAGTGAATGGCTGCTCTGGAACAGAGTGTGAATGATGCTCTGTAATACTACCAGAAGGGGTTAATGGGTATGATCACACATTTAAAGGTATTACAAACATAACTGTGCAAGGGATATGCTGTGCTAAAACTGCACCTTCTTGTTCTACTCTTGTGCCTGACTTCTATCACCCTGCTAGAAAGTACATGATAGTTAAATTGACTTTTCAGGCATTTGATATATCAAGTGCACTTGCCTAATGCTTCCAATTCTTAGGAAATGCTGGAATTCGATGAGCGTATCGAACTCTGAATGCTGCACACATCTGGCTCAACTGGATGTGGAATCCTGCTCTTAATGTACTTGTTATGCATTTTTATCAACCTCAGATACAGTTTATCCAGCTGTCCCGTGTAAATGTATCTTTGAAGAAAGGAGCCTTTTCAGTCATTAAAGACACCAGAGTTCAATTCCTCATGCTACTGAGTGTTGTAGGTGTGATTACAAAGTCATCTTAGAAGTTCAAATTCTCTTATGTTATAAACTGATAATACGTGCCAGCTGTATGGAACTATAAAAATGCACATAATATCTTTTGGTTACAAGAGAAATTTGCAGACACCTTTACATTTCCTTGAGAAATAGACGTAAATATGCATTGATTAAATACCATGGCCTTGAAAAACACTTTTATGTATTTGAGAAAGGCAAGAAAGGCTATATATTACCAGACTTTGTAAAGTGAACTAATTCAGCTTAACCTGTACACTTAGAAATTAATTTTAAATGTTCTGTAAAATGCATTATTTTCCTGTTTTAAAGCCATTGTATGTGATGATAATGCTAGCAGGTATTCATTCCACTTCACAAACATCAGTGGTTGAAAACAATTTTAGCTATTAAACTCAAGTTAACCTTAGTAAAACTCCATACTGGTATTTAAAATTTTTCTCTGATCTCTGTCATATTGTTGCTTGTATTTACTTGCTCAGTAGTTTCTGCTTAAACTCCAGCAGATCATTCTTCTGTAACCTAAAAGTATTTTGAGAGCTGTTATGTCACAATTCTTATAGCTTGTTTTAATGAAGAAAAACGTTGTCACCAGCTCTTTTTGTTCCTGTGATCTCTACCAGGAACTTCACTAGCTGTACTTTATTTTATGAAAAATGCAGTTGTTTCAGCAGAAACTTCAATACAGATTCCTTAAACTGATGTATGGCCAATAACATGTAGAAGACCCAGGTCTGGCGGCCTGTAGTTGTCTGTTGCTGCCTTCTTTTTTTCAGAATTAGTAAAGGAGAAGATCATTGTGGAAACCTGGACTTAGGCAAGAGGGAATGCATTGGATTAATATGGTGTTCATCAATTTTTTACAAGAGCCTCCTAAAGAAAAGATGCTACAATGGCAGTAGTTTTTGCCTTTTTTGTTAAAATTAACTGGCATTTACATAATTGTAACTATCCTACAAAGGATTAAACTGAAATGGAAAAAAGTATCTGCAATGGTGACCTCTCACAGAAGTGACAGTGTTCACACTGCTTCACATGTCTTCTTTTTTTTCTTATTTTTTCTTTTTTCCCCAGTTTTTTCTTTTTCTTTCTGCCTATACAGGAAGGTTTTTCTGGTAGCAATCCAAGTCAGTGAACTATTTCTAGTCATCTGAGACATCTAAT